ACTGTAACAAAATTATTGCAGTATGAGCTGCTCAATCAGTTTCTTTTTTAAAAAAAAAAAAGAGAAAGAAAAAGAATAATTGCAACAAACAGCAATAAATGTCTTTCTTTTTCCTTATGATCAGAGAAATTCCAATATTTCAAAAATTTTTACAGAAAAACAGGATTTCGTACGTATTTTACAAATTCACCTAAGGGTTAATTAAAATTTGATAAAAAGAGAGATTAAAATAATTGTAGCTTAATATCTTCTATAAAAAAAAGCGAAAACTTTCTTGTCACATATATTGCACCTACAGCAGAAGCCTAAAAATCGTGGAATTGAAAAAAACCTGAAAATCTTGGAACCTGAAAAGACTTAAAAAATGAGAGACCACGGAAAATCCCGAAATCTAAAAAGATCTGAAAAGGGAAGATTTGAAAATCATGGAACCTAAAAAAGAGCTGAAAAAAGAGACCTAAAAATCTTGGAAAAAGACCTGACTGCTACTGGACTTTCTGCAACAATACAAACTGTAACACTACTATTTTTCATAGTTAAAGTCCAAAAATAAATGTCTGAGTAAACTTTGATGTTTATTACTTTGCAGGTAATTTAGCAGCATGGGCTCGAGAGAAACATCCGCGAACTATTCGAGCAGCAGTAGCTAGCTCAGCTCCTTTACAGGCCAAACTTAATTTTAAGGGCAAAAATTTCAACCACATTTTATTCCACTTTTCAATAAGTATATAATCAAAGGAAGAAAAACCATTAGCAGATCATAAATTAAAACAATCGATGTCCTATTGATCTGAATAGTATAAAAGCATATATAATTGATTTACATTTCTCATTAGCAATCGTAAGCAGATCAACTTGAAAATTATAGAGTTTGAAAAGGAGGTTGAAAAAATTATTGGAAAAAGAAACTCGAAATGCGTAACGGTGATACGAAAATTGTTCCAAAAGATGCGTCAAATGTCAACAACACTTGAAGGCAGACGTGAACTTGTGAAGATATTTCGGTACTGATAACTTTCATTTTTGTCTTTTCAAACATTTACATTGGTGTTTAAATTTTATATAAATTGGAAGAGCAGATATCAACAAAAAAAAATTATTTATTCTGCTTTTCAGATTAGATGATTCGTTAATTCGGCCAACAGTATCTCCGAATGATATTGCTAATTTCTTTTTTGTAATCAGTAATTATATCAGTTTTATCGTAATGCACAGTGGAATCAATGTGGTCTGTTATATACTATGACTAATGAATTCCATTAATATTGTCAATATTTAAAAATTTCTTCAAATTTCATCTCTTATTTTTAAAAAAGAAATTATCCAGACAAATTATGAAACAATTGGTTATCAGTTAATTTGAAGTTAGCGTAAAAATTTTTGTAAGCTTCCAGAAGAATCATCGAGATTTATTGACTCTCGATGTGATGTGTAACAAATTGACCCATTCACCAACACTACAATCTATACGGACGCTAATTGAGATGGTTATGACATCGCAAGGAAAGTCATCGCATTCCGGCATCGATATTGGCTACAATAGTTTTCTTGATTTCGTACGTGACGAACGTTGGAATACACATACCTCACAACGTTAGTATCATTCTTCTTTTTATTTACAATTAAAAAAATGAAGCAATTGATTAATAATTAATTTAAATCTTGCGTAAAAATTTTTGTAAGCTTTCTGGAAGGAGTATCACTGAGAGAAGGAAGTGCGAAAATAGCACGGATAATTATCGGTTTTGAGTGAAATTTTTCAAGTTTGAAGAGGTAATTATTAGTTTTCAGTTAGTTATTCTTCATGTCTAAAATGAAACCGAGGCGATATTTGAATAAAATGAGATGAAAAATATCGATTAGGTAAAAGATGGAGAACAAACATTTCACATTGAACATTAAATGAAATTGATGATCAATTAAATTTAGCCATAAATGCCGAAATAGAAATAATACGTAATTGTTTAGAGTGGAAAGTATGATGAGAAATTATATTTTGAATAATAAATTTTTATAACAGTTTAAAGTAATTAAAGAGAAAAAAAAGCACGTAACTGATGATTATCTTTAGCTCGTGCATGGCTTTATCAAAAATGTCACGAATTTGGCCATTTTCGAACAAGCGAAGAAATGAATGGTTTATTTGGTGGTACATTACCTTTAAGGTGTTTTTACAGATTTTATAAATGCAATAATTATTATATATTATTTTGTAAGGAAAAATTTTAATTTTCTTTAAATAATTTTTTAATTGATCAACATACTAATGTAGTTTCTTCTTGGCTCGTTGTAATGATGTTTTCGGTAATCAATTTTCTCTCGAAAATACGGAAAAGAGAATTGCTGAAACAAATCAATATTTTGGTGGAAATGAACATTTTCAGGTTTGCACATTTGGCACTAATTGATAAAATGCTTATTACTTGATAAACTGTCAATAATATACTACAGCTAATCATTCCTTCTTTTTTTCTTTTGTTATTGTTTTTATCACTTTTTAAAAAAATTGAAATAAACCGTCAATTATTGATAAACTGTCAATAATATATCACTGCTAATCATTCTTTCTTTTTCTTCTTTTGTTATTATTTTTATTACTTTTTAAAAAGATTGAAATTTTTTTCTTTTTGATAAATTATCAATAATGTATCAAAGCTAATCATTCTTCCTTTTTTCTCTTGTCATTGCTCTTATCACTTTTTAAAAAATAGAAATGTTGTGCATTTTAAAATAGAATTTTTAAAATCTAGCAGGTCAATATTAATTTTATCATATAATTTCTGAATTCATAGACAACAGATGTGATACTATCCAATGGATCCGATGACCCATGGACCTTACTTGGCATATCCAACAGCACAAACGCTGGTGGTAATTATATCATCTGCATTGAAGGTTTCTATTCTTTAATTGTTTGATAAATAATGGAACATTACCAAGTTTGTTAAAGGAAAAAAAAAAAGAAAAAATTAACAATTCATAATTGAATTGAAATTGAAAAATTCATTTGCAAGAGAAGAAAAGATCTAAAATTAGATAGAAAAAGGAGACAGTATTGTTTTGAAAAAAAAAAAAGTGAAAGTGAAATATTAATGAAAAATATTGCAGGAACAAGCCATGTAGCTGATTTTTATCCTCCGAGTATTTCCGATTCGGATTCTTTGAGGATCGCACAATATAGGATAATAGAGTTGATAGAAGATATGATATTGTAGTGATTCAGCAATGCTATGGGAATATTTAATTTAAAATGAATACAAGTTATTCATTTGATCAATTACATCTGAAAATAATCTTAACCTATTTTTTTTTTGCTAACAATTCTTCAGCATATTTCAGAATTTCGTAATCTCTCGAATAATTTTTCAGCCTTTCTCAAAATCTTTTATATAGAACCATCATTTTTTGGTTAATTCTGATTGAAATGTGTAACAAAAATTGAAATATATTTTAGCTTCCAGCATGAATTCTGAATAGTTTCTAGCATAAAAAAAATACACATCCAATAGAGATATCATATTAAATACGGTTCAAAAGAAACTCGATCCGATTTAATATAGCATTAAAAAAAAAAAAAAGGAAATAGGCCCACAGAACTGGATTAATGGGACAGGTTGCCTGCAACGATTCATATAAGAGGAAAAAAAAAAGCAAAGAAATGGATGGAATGCCGAGAACGATTATGAAATTTGTTTCATTCACTTGAACTCCTAAACTAATTTTTAATAAGAAAAAAAAAGAGTGCCGATTAATGTGATGTCAATTGTGCATTTTGAAAATGTACTATACTATACGATACAATTTTCTTGACAGTCAACTAAAATTCATCGTCTAACAGTGGTAGCTTATTTTGGAAATAAAATGTTTAAAATAAGCTTCCTAATAGTTTACTTTAAATGTTTTATATCTAAAGTACGATTATATTATAAACATTGAGATAGAAATATTATTTATACCATTTACTGTGCACTCACTTTTCATCATCATAATCGATTATCATCGATCACTCTTATCAGTCAGCAAAAAGATTTCATCGATGCATTTGTGCAGTATAGCTTCGTCAAATAGCATTTGTGTCTTTTGTTGTTTTTATTTTTTATTTTTTGGAAAGAATATTTCAGTTAATTGTCATTTTGTTTATATCGATTTTTGCACTTGAAAGTCAGGAATGTATCGCAGAATTCAAAACAACTCTTTTCGAACATTACCAATTTCAGAAACATTACATCGTTCATTTTTACGATCATTAACTGTTAATTTACTGGTAAATTCAAAGTTGTAAAATAAGTAGAACTGATTTATGAATGAAGGTATTTCAATATTTTCATCCAATTCGTTTCTTTAGCAGAAAATGAAAATTTCAAATAAAATATATTAAATGTGTCCGAAAAGATTGCAATGCAGCAATTCTTTTTCAATTTTTCATTTTTTCTCAAATTTGTTACTTATATAGTTTGTACCATGCGAATAAATGTTTTAACAACTTTTGATGAATTTATCCTTATTGCTGCTTTTCAATTTACTTTTTTTTTCTCTTTAATTTGAATACGTTCAGGTTTGGATATTTTTAGATTTCTGTTGATCGATCAGCTCTGAAGAATTCTTCTCGTATAATAATGAACTTTATGTGGAATTACCATAAGTCTAAAATAATTTCATATTGTATGCACTTCTTCAGGGCTTAAATTCATCCGTTGAATCAGGTGACGGTGATGAGGAATGCACGTGGAAGGCACAAGTCAATACATGAAACGTCAAAACATGGCGAGAGCAAATGTATGATTCGTTTTCATATTTCCACCATGCTAATATGAGAAATTTACAGATGAAAGAATCAAATTCAAATCAATTTCAAATAAAATTGAAAATACAGTATTTGCTATAAATGAATGCTTTATTAGTTAATACCATTTCTACACAATATTTTTTTTAAGTATTTTTGTTTGGGAACAAAAATGTACTTTTTGTTCCCAAACAAAAAGTATTTTGAGATAATAATTTATTTGCAAAATTATGTTCTTCCTGTTTCAAGTAATCTTTATTGTTGTTATTACATTCATAATTAGACAACCATTCTCAAGAGAGTTCAAGATGGAACATATATGCATAATATATTTATTTTCCAAAGCACGCTTATCTTTCCCATTAATTAACCGCTATTAAAATTTCGATTTAATAAATTTCATAACAATATTGAATGCCAGTTATCTTCTAAGGAAATATGTTTACTTTACTGGCAGCGTATTTTTTATGAATATATTTATTAATTATTATTTTACAAGATTTGTGATTTTTTTTTCCTTGATACTCTCATCTTTACATTAGTTTTTTTTCTACAAAAAAAGCGAAAGGATGAAATTACCTGTAGTTATGTTACTAATTAACAGACCATAAGGTATTTGTTGTATGAGATAAATTATCTGTTTTGATTGAAGGACGTTTTGTAGTATTTTCACTGATTATGATTAAATAATCGTTATCATATTTTCACTGATCAAATCATTATCATGATTTGATGTAAATATCATTCCTTGGAATATTAATCAATCATTTGGCTAAATTACATTCCAGTAAAATAGCAAAAATTATTTATGAGAAAAAATTTTAGGTCATCATAAAGTTGAATGTCTCAGACAAAAGAATTGGATAAATGGATGAATGGATTGGATGGATCATTTTTGTACAATTATGAAAGTCATGCATGAATACAATTTACAAATGCATTATTACGAACTATATACATATACATATATGTAAAGTGGATACTGAATGGAGAATGAGAGAGTTGAAAGAGAGAGAGAGAGAGAGAAGGTGCTATGGTGACAGTCGCAAATTTTCCACATTTAGTGACAGTTGTAATTGCAGCAGCATCAAATCGGCATACGAGAAGCGATCGTGCTCTTTCAGTTGGCTCCAAACATCGATCACTTCAACCTGTAATGTCCGAATTAGCTTCACGGATGCCACTTTTTCAAGGTAAATATTATTAACAAAATTTCAAGAAATTAAAAGATAAAATTTTCTTCATTTTCATTCAATACTATCACTTCTGCACCTTTAAATTAACATTTGAAATGGCAACTGCGATCAGTTACTAATCTCTTCTAACTTTCAATCCCCCTCCCCCTCCCCCTCTTCCTCCCCCTCCTCCTCTTTCTGCTCCTCTCTCTCCCCTTTCTCTCCACCTCTTTATTTACTCCTCCAGTTCAATTCATTCATTTATTTCATTAATCCATCCATTTTTTTCTCCACATCTTTATTCTTTGCCCATCTTCACTCTCATTTTCATCATCAATTCATTTTTACTTTGATTAATTAATTAATTAAATCGTGTTTCACTGGTGGGAAAAAAAACATTTATCATTATGTTAAACATTAAGTAGAATAAACTTTACTTTCACGGACAGAGAGAGAGAGAGAGAGAGAGAGAGAGAGAAAATTTGTTTTCAGTTTCTTATGAACAGAAAAGAAAGCACCACTCATTTCTCTTTTTATTACACATTTTAGCAATTGGCTTTATTCTTTTTTTGTAATGCTATTCTAATTGTATTCATTTCAATTTCACTATATTATTTCTATTCAGATATGAATAATCTCTATACTTAATACTGTAACTTTTCTTCATCATCCCTTATTCCAACAATCCATCATTATATTTTTCTCACTATACAACATTTTATCACTTCTTTTTAAAAAATGCATTGATTCTTGATCAATGATCATTTGTGATAACAGAAGTGTATATTACAAGTAAAAATACGTAAGAATTTATAAATTCTGCATTATTATCAGTGATTATTTCTGCAGTATTTTTGATAAATGATAAATGGCAAACTTAAAATTCTAATCAATATCATTCAAACTATCACCACAATCTTTGTGCTATCAAAACTGTCAACAGTATTTGTGCAAACAAATTATTCAATAACTATTACCAACTTATCTTTCATTTAAAAAAAAAAGAATTAAACAACAATCCATTTCATTGTTCCTGCTTACTGTCATTTTCCTTGTGCAATGTGTAAATAGGAATTGAAATTTTAAAATATTTGATTAATCAATAATTGTCCGATTATAACTGATCCAGAAATAGAAATCAAAAAAGCGCAAATAGGGAATGAAAATGTATGCTTAACATCAATGCTAATAATATCTGATAGTATCAAATCGTATCACAGATGTCTAATGCTAATGCTACAAAACGAAGATGCAAAAGTTATAATAATGAAGAGTAAAAAGGGAAGTAGTAATTCGGATGAAGTATCCTGCAAATGCTACTGTCAAGGTGGTAAACGAATTAGCTATCCATATGGTTGGATTAGTGCTACTACCACCAATACTGCTAATATTGCTACTATTACTACTACTACCACTGCTAATACTGCTACTACTGCTGCTAATACTGCCTCTATTCAACACGATTTCATCATCGGTTCGTTCGTTTCTCTTTCATATTAAGTCAGTACTATAAAAATGACCTTTTCCCTGAATACAATAAAGGTCAGACAACATGAAATGTTCTTTTGCAGATGAATCATCGCAGAAGACTGCAGAAGATCGTTGTTTATCAACAGCAAAACTAGGTCACGCTGAACAGATATCCTATCAGACAGCACATCCCGTTGCAATGAAACATCGTGAAAGTCAAGCACTGGAAAGGAAGCCAAGTGCGCCTCACCATTACTCTCGGACATATGCGCCTCACATACATTTCACTATCAATTGCAGCTTAATTGCAACTCGAACATAAGCCACCTTGAAATTATTTAGTAGCATTATTGAAAGGATTTGAAATGAGAAGGAGAATGGGCATGATTATGTTTTAGGTCTTCTAAAATTTGGAGTAAGCCTTAGAAGATTTAAATTTAAATAGAATAATTTGAGATTATTAGAGAGCAGGAAATATTTTTAAATCGTTTTTTTTTGTGTATTTTCTTTTCATAATTATGTCGTTTTTTTTTCTAATTGATGATACTCTTTGAAAAAAAAAACATCCTTCAATTATTTTCTAATTATTAATAATATTAGTAAAGTGTATAAATATACTTTCAGGTGTTTCAGCTCAAGTATTGAGCGCTCTTATTGGAAATTCAGGAAGTAGTGCATATAGTCGAACTATGGGTAAAGTTATGCGAGTTCTTGTAAGTATATACTTTTAACAATGATGCAAAGAAAAAAAACATCATTTAAGTGTGCTTTGACGTGATCCTTCCAGTAAAAGCTTTTATTTATCTTAATATTTGCATAATAATATTACTCTTCCTTTATCATTCTATCATTATTCTGTTGTAATATAAATTAAAATTAAATATTTAAAATGGAGAATTATAAGTAAAACATAGGAAAATGATAGGCTAAAAGTAAAGCGTATGTTTATTTGCAGGTGGCTGGATCGAAAAAGGTAGGAAAAACTGCATGTTTAGAACAACTCGCTTGTCTTAGCGATATCACTGATCAGGTTTTTTTTTTTTTCTTTACTTTTATAACTTTTGTATGAGCGCAATGTTATTTGTGAATAAATTTTCTCCGTTTCGACTTTTATTCAACTAAATTCATCGTATGTCGGAAGTTTATTGATAATATATGTACTTTACTATTGTATAGACATTATGCATTTACAAATATGTATTTCAGCCTTACATACCTACAATTGAAGATACATATCAAGTGCAGATGGATTATGGAGATCGACCTAAAGAAATTATGGTTTTTCATGATACGGCCGGAATTAGTGAGAGTGGTCCAATTGAGCTTAAGCGATCCTACGTTCAGGTATGCTGCTTATATATTCTTCCAGTTCATTTATAGAATTCTATTTCATTGTTTTTACAAAGTTACATGGAGGTTTTATGTTTTACCTCATCATAACCATTTCATGAGCAACCGAATTATTTGATAAAATTTTGTTATGACTCGTCGTTTACTGATATATAACGACCTATAAATGAAATATCTCGTTTCTATTACATCGATCTTCCTAAACAGAGCATTGTAATGCAGGTAGCGGATGCATTTTTGTTAGTGTACTCGGTTGTTGACCACGAAACCTTCAACAGAATGGATATGTTGAAAAAAACGATCGATAAGCAGTTTGGTAAAGATAAAAAGGAGGTGATTCCATGTTTGTTTAACAGCTTTCTTGTAGTTTAGAAGAATTTAGTACTGCTTACAGTTTTGATCATTTTAGATGTTGAATCGATTTACTTATCCTTATGGTTGCAATGCTGAAAATTTTTAATGACATTGCAGTTTTCAGGTGCCTATAGTTGTTTTGGGAAATATGATTGATCTTCCAGGCAGAAAAGTTGATAGTGAATTCGCGCGGAGTTGGGCTACCAAAGAAAAAGGTGTTGTAATTTGCATATATTTTACATCCCACAACTTTTTTTACAAATGATAGTTATTGCAATTTTGCTCTCAATATATATAAAATTTTCTAGTAAAATTATATGAAGTGACTGCAAAGAATCGTAATACACTGGTTGATTTAGTGATGTATTTGGGTAGCCGACATTTTCACTCACAACGTATGTGCTTTCCTGTAAATATTTTGTATACGTTTTATACCGAAAAAAGACCTCTAAATAAAAAAGATGCAGTCGATGTATATTCTAAATTTTGATATTGAAGCTATCAAAAGAATCTCTCAGTATCCTGTTTATCTCATTGTTCGATAAGATCTTCAGGATGCAGCTACTTTCGCATATTCATTTAAATACGAAATTACTGCGTTCAAAAGATCTTATCGCACAATGAAATAAATTGTTTAGTGAAACAGATTTTATGTAATAGTTGAATTAGAAACCATCAAGAGCTTCTACTTATTCACATTTACAGGGGAATCAAAATTTTCTCTCTCGAAGAAGCTGAAAGCTGAAAAATCTAACGCTGCCATAATGATGGATTTATGAAATTACCGTTGTGTTATCTCTGTTAATATTGATTCACCAGAGTTCCACTTATTCAAGAGAACTCAAAGATATTACTTTCGTAATGAAGTCATATTCGCAAATATTTTTGCAATTCCGAATATTTCTAATCGGTGATTCATTAGAACTGTATATTGTTTATATTCAGGTATGAATTTCGATTATTTTGTTTTGCTCACTACTTTTCCATAAAATACAAACTTGAAGTCTTTGATAGGGATCGATCTTGCATTCAGAAGTAATGAAAGAAGTAAGATCCTATTTATCTTTTATGAGGGAATTAATGACAGTTGCTTACAAGATGAGAGTCCTACTCATCGATTCTTCTGTATCCCTGCAATTATGGATTGATTGCGAACTATCTGCTGTATATTAAAAGATGTGATTCATATGCATCTCTTTCATTTTTGCAGTTGTTAATTCTGTTACCATTTTCATTGTCTCACTTTCTGTTTCTCACTTTACATATATTAATAATTATAAACTGCCAGGTATGTTATATAACTTTTCATCATTTACAGTAACAATTAAAGACTTCAGATGATTTAATTTAAGTTCACTTTGTCGCAATAAATTCTCATCTGTACTGATTAGCGTAGAACACTGTTAATATGTACATTTAAACAAATAGAAAATTTTTAAGAAACAGGAAAGAGGAACTTTTGATTGGTTGGAATTGACCGAGATCACATGGTTCTTCAATTAAAATTCAATAGGAGGTCATTCACATTATATCGCAACGCAATACTCATCAATTTTGAACTGCAGAAAATTAATGAGTATTGCGATTTATAAATACGACAAAAGGTATGTATATCATTTAATGTATGATACGACGACACATGGCAGTTTTCCAAAGGATCTTCTCTTAAATTTTTTTTTTTTTTGAAAATATTAGTTCCAAACACGCTTGTGCAGGCATTGAAGGAGGTAATTTTTCTTTTTTCGTTCTTTAATGATATCCAAAAGAACATATAAATCATTCACGAATAGTGTGCAGTCATGGTGTTCAATCAAAAAAAAAAGAAGACCCTGAAATATTCAGTAGAGGTTGCTGCTCAATATTTCAGGTTTTATTTAATTCACCACATATTGAATAAATTGCCTCTTTGCATTGATGAATATCAGAATTCGATAATATAAATTGAAAGAATTAAAAAATTAAATATCTATCGATATAAGTAAAGCATTCAGTACTGATAATTTGTGATTATTGCACATAATAAATATGTACGTGCTGTTTGGAATATACTAAAAAAAGTTGAGAAGTCAATGCTAGTTATTATATTTTAAAATGTTTAGTTCGCAAAATGAAATTCCAAGGTTACAAAATGTTAATGTGTCCGATGCATTAATCTTCATAAGTTAATGAAAAGTAATATAAGTAACAGATAATATCTAATATTGCAAACCAAACATTTTCATAATACTTCAATGAAAGTTCAATCGAGAACTGTAATAGATAATTGAAGACCTCAGCTGATTGTCCAGGAAACAATTCAAATGAAAGATCCTGTTTAGCTAATTCATTGAAGTTTTTCCAGTACGGAACCTTTACCTTTACCTTTACCCTGTCAGAAACAATCTTATTCTATCAGAAAAAGCTCGATATCATCACTTCAACAAACTACATTCGCACTATTTTCTTTTCAAATTTATCATTGAATACAATTTTGCTAAGCTATACTGATTTCATCAGTTGGCTAAATCATTTCTTAATCAGCAAACACAAAAAAAAATGTTTCTAATTTTAAAATATTACAAAGCTAAATGTTTCAACTAATTGATCACTGAAAATAAAACATATACAAGTGCGGACATAAACAAACTAATCTGCTAATTAATTAATTATCCAATGGCATACAACAAAAAAAAATTGCATTTTTTTGTAATTTCCATCTAATAATAACAAATTATATAAGATTTTTTTTTTCTAAAGCGTAGCGTATCATTCATTATATTCCTGTTATATTATCATTTTGCCAAATGATAATTAAGGTTGTGATTAAATTTCATTTATCAGCGAAATTTACTAATAAGTTTTCACTGATAAGTGATAACATCGCTGGAATAAAATATGCATATGTTATGAGGGGATTTCGAAATATCTCTCATTACATTCCATTTTACTAAAATTCTTCATAAAATTATTGATGCCAATTATTAATATGGGAATGGTATGATAATGAAAATTGAAAATTAAAAAGTCGGATATGCTTCTTCGCAAGCACGTCTGACTTCATAATCGTAACATAATAAAATTATTGATAAAAATTATGAAATTTACACGATTTTTTTTGATATCACGATTTATATCATTTATATTATTTTATTAAATCATATGGTAGAAATGTAAGTAATTTAGGTTAGTTAATAAGATTTAGATACCGGAAAAAAACGCATAACTGATAAAATAGTACAGTAATCTTGATTATTTTTAAAAGTAAGTTTTAAATTACAGAAACAAAATTACCTGAATTAGTAATTGCATTTAAAATTAAATAATTTTAATTTTTGTCTTGCATAGGAAATAATGCTGACGAGACTTATCAATAAGTCACATATCGCTATATCAATTTATCCTAATGAAGTGAGACATGAAATTCATTGACCTCTATCACTCTAAATCATTATTTTATAATCATTTTTGCCATCATCCAACTTGTCCTTTGACTCTTTCAATTCGTTTAAAAATTCAAAATAAATAATATTGCAGCTTAACTTTCCTCGTTCCTCTTTATCTTTTTCAATGAGTGATAAGTAGTTGAAGAAATCATCGCATACTTTTATAACTCTCATAATGATTAGTTTAAATCACGCAGCGGAATATTGCAATGACTTTTGCACATATTAGCATACTTATTTTAAATTAAACTTAAAATTGTAAATTGATTACACGAAAAGAAAGGAGATACTATTAGAATTTAAAATATATCGACGTTAGACTGTTATCAAAAATATCCGATTATCATAAATTCGATCGCTAGTATACTCTGACAATAATTTAGATTGACCTTTCTTGCAATTATTTTATGATTACAGGAAAGGTCACTCTAAATTGTCTACTTTATACAAGCAATGATTTGCTTTATTGTATGTATTAAAAATGTAACTATTCATTTTTTTTTCTTTATTTTCAAAAGAGTAAATAAAAATTTTAACAATGAGCACGAAAAAAAATGGTTTATTCTTAAAATACTAACGAACTAATTGGACAACAGAAATGCTTATCGAATAGCGACAAATATATATGTACAAGCATCACTGTTAATTAATTATATCCACAAAGCCCGTGGTTGATAAATTGGGGTATTAAAAAATCTGAAATAATCAAAAAAATATCAAATATGAGTACAGATCTAAATCACAGTAATGAACAATTAGCCATTCGTTTATAAACAATGAATGGAAATAATTGAAGTTCAATGCCGAAAGACTGATTAATAGCAGTAAAGAGAGAGAGAGAGAGAGAGAGCAAGGAATAATTAAATTACTCGTTAAATATTGAACATGGGAATAGAGAGAATTTAGCAGCATGCAAAGATGATCAACCACTCGACAATTCCATCATCATCATAACCAAATGAGAATGGATTATTTGATTTCGAATTTCAGTTCAAGCGCTTTTTATTTCCAAATATGGAATTTTTCAGACGCTGACCCAATCCAGCACGTTTGTCCGTTATGGCTAAAATTTGAATATTAAATAACAATATTTTTTATGTATTAAATAATAACTAAATTTCGCATCATTGATAACTTCTCGAGAAATATCAAAATTAAAAATTTTCACAATACAAAACACTTAAAGTAGTAACAAACTTGAATCAGTTAATTTGACAGAGGAGGATGTGATAGTGTTCATATTTTGTATAATATGTTGTTTTTTACCTTGACAATGATTCAAACTATTACTCTTCATCAATGGTACCGGTTTAGTTGGCATTATTTCACTTGCAACCTGAAATAAACCACGATTTTACAATTTTAATAATAGCTACTTAACATTTCATAACTTTTCAATTTTTATCATGCGCATTTTGTAGCAATAGCAAATTTTTCACCTTATTGAGTGATACCAATGAAGCAGCACTGATTGGTGGTTTTGATGCATTGATTTTCCGTAAGAAATGACTAATTCGACTGCTTTTTTTAACCGGACCAGATGGTTTACTGATAGTAGTTGATAGTATTTGATGACTGTATGTCGAAACATTGTCAAGTTCACTAGCACGTGAAAAACGCTTCTCATCCGCCTGATATGATAATGCATGGTAATAATTTATTAATGATAATAGCAGTTAAAATATAATTCTCTTCATCTTTATCAAATTAATGCGAAGAAGAGCTTACCTGAATATTATCATAGAAGCCATCATCTTCCCCATTCAAATTAATTTCCTGAGAGGAAATTGATTGCTTGCCAGATACCATCATTTCTCGATTACCAGGTGAATTTATTGGTATCGATGAATGATGATTTTTTGACAATGTATACGATGATTGCGCACCTAATGATGAACCAGAAGAATAGTAACCATCTATTTGAGAAGAATTTCTAGAATCTGCAATAATTACATGCATTCATTTGTCATTTCTGCAAATATTAATAAGGAAAAAAGGAATTCTTTCCAAAGTTTAGCAAATTCAACCTCTAGCTGCTAATAGCTTATTATTCAAAAAAAAAACAACAAGGTATAGTTTCAAAAAAAAAAAAGAAAAAAGCAGAATTCAATCTCCAATTCAATCTCTCCAGTAATTTTAGTTAACTCCAAAAAAGTTAACGTAAAATGTAATTAAATTCTGATATTGAATGTTTACCTGGTGGACGAGATGGTGGATGAGTTACTGGAAATGCTGGAATGAACTCAGATCGTGATGGTACTGCTACTGAAGGAAGATATCGTTTGGATTGAGAATTTGGAGGAATTGCTGAAGAGAATTGCTTTCCTAATGATTTTGCGGATGCAGGAATGAACTGAAACTATATATCATTTTATTTCTTTCTATCTACAAAACAAAAAAAAAATTCATCATCATTAATTAATTTCCAGAAAATTCTGTAAAAAATTTTTCATTAACTCCTTAATTTACATACCTCTTTTCGAAGAACAACAAAATCATTGATTTCATAGTAATTTTCATCATCTTTAACATTTGTAGTTGATTGAGTATTATCATTGTAACTGGTAAAAATACCACAACGCTTTGCAGGTGCATCTGTAAAAATAAGAATTGAAAATTTAATGAATGAATTAAACAATGTGGAATAAATCGAAGAAAGAAATACTGCAGCCAGGCTGAAATCATCTTGAAAAAAAAGATCAAAAATAGATATTTCTGAAAATGAAAATGAAAAGAAAGAAATGGAAAAATGAAGATTGTCATCCGAAGAAGCAATCTGTTATCAATCAATGAAAATTATGTATTAAAATATATTTGAATAAAATTTATGAATCCTAAACGTAAAATTAAATTTGATATTGAGCAGTAGCGAATATATGAAGCCATTAAGCAAGACTAATTAATTAAAACAACGCCACTTTATCACTAATAATTACTGTTCCAATGATTTCACGAACTGATATCAATTTTATCTGTAATCAGCTTATCCATTTAACAAAAAATTTCAAGAAAAAAAAATAGTGATGTGAAGAAATTTGAAGAAACTTATTACCAATTTATGGTATCATGCAGTTACTCTCTCATTTCAATACTTGCAATATCCTACCAGATATCAAATTCGACAAGGTTAAACTTAGTCTGAAATATGGATGAAAGATAGCATGCATTTCAGTGTAATGTTTTCAACGAAAATACATGAATTTAATGATGCTAAAAATAAAAATAAAATTAAAAATAAATTTTAATCGATTACCAAATTAGACGGCTGAATACTATGCAATGTAAAATTGTGATACAACACATTGAGATATTTGATATAATTGCTGACAGTATGGAAATTAAGAAATAATTGAGAAAAGATGGATGAGGTTAAATAATAATATGATAATTAATAGCAATAATATTCTTTCTTTTGTTTGAGAAGAGGAGAGGAATGATAAGCTTATGAAAATGATTACGTTTTTTATTCTCGAAAATAGATTGCATTGCTTCCACTTTGCTTGGATTCAATTTTTCCTGATTGATCGTTTCAAATGGAGACAATATTGAACTATTCTTCACTCTCGTTTCTGTAAAATTACATTTAATGCTTTATAAATTTCTTCTAACTGTTATGGATTAGAATTAAATTATATTGATTGAAATACTTACGCACATACTTACGACCTTTGGATAGTTCATTTGACGTTGTGACATCATTGATGACACTTTGCAACATATTTGCCATCTCACCAAATGAATCTTTTGGTTTCTGAGGCTGTTGTTGCTGCATACGATTAATATTGTACTCCGATCTATAATTATACGAAATATTTATTTAATAAATGTTTACTTTAATATAGAAACTTATAAGATATGTAAATTTTATCACTCCAAAATATATCCTTTAATTAACCAAATCATATAACATACTTTGTTTTAGCAGCTATTTGAATATTATTATGCTCCACTTGTTGGCTACTGATCGGTTTCTCGTAATTATCAGTATGACGCACAAAAAATTCATTTCCAGTAGGAAACGAACGCCGCTTGCTAGCTACTGACGTCTGAAACGTTTATTAAATTAAAAAGAAAATCAAAGTTTTTTTTTTTTGGAAAATGTTATTTAAAAAATATTATCATAATTAAAGTACAGTAATAGTTAAGTGTTAATGATCAACTGTTTAACTAATAATAATAATAATCAATTTACGTTTTAATGAATAGAGAAAAAAAAAACAGAAATCAGCATTTTATATGGTATAACAAAGAAACCCAACCTGATCGGTGTTCAATTCCAATTCCGCAACTAATGCATCAATCGTTACGGTTGGATCTGAGCTATGCGGAAGCTGAGATCGAAATTTCGATGAATCCGGTAAACTGGCCACTGAACCACGTACTGTTAGAATGTTTGGTTGTTGTACCGGTGTAAATGCACCTGTTTTCCGTGTAGAAAGTTGCACTTCTTCCGATCGAGCACTACTCAATGTATTATAACGCGAATCCTAAATATTACTTTTTTTTTTCTTTGGTAATTTATTGTTTTTTCTTCGATAATTTTTTTGGTAACTTTTCTTGTCATTAATAATTTATACATGATAGATTAATTTGATTGATAACAATGCATGCAAAGGAAAATATTATCAGGCAGAAAAAAAAAATATTACATGAGATGCAGATCTCCATGATACCGTACTGAAATCACGATTTCTTTGCTCTAATAATCGACTATGTGATGGAATTCTTTCCAATGGAATTTGATTACTATTTACATCATGATTACTTGCCCTAAAAATGTTAATATATTTACAAAAAAAAAAAGAATTTTATCAGTTATCATTTTATTTAAATTACTCAACAACATTATCCCTCTCTTTTCTGATAATTTTTCTTTCACTTTTTAATAAAAGAATTGTGAAATTAAAGAAATACAATTGAATAATACGGACCAAACGTTATTATCATGAAATGATTGAGAAAAATTGTTAAAATTATGCAAATTGCCAGCGCTTCCGGTTGAGAAATTGAACGTATGATGCGCTTTTATTGGTAACGGTTTAATTGGATCGGTCTGTTGGACATACTGACCATTACCACTACCACCACTATATTTACGTGTGGAATGATAATCCATCCGATGACCAGTTGACTGCTGTCTGCAAAAGAATTGAATTAATGGATAAAATAAAAATGTAACAATGTAGTAGGGAAGAAATCAAATAATAAAAATTGAATAAAATTATTGAAATTATTGAAATGATTATTGAGAAATTACATGAGAGGCTATTTGATAAATTGAATTGAAACAAACAATTGTAAATCCTTACCTCACATATTTAACTTTGGGAGCAACATTCTGAATAAGATCCGGTACATCTCGAGCTTTTTTCTTCTTCCGGTCAACTGAATTAATTGCTGCCACTTCCGCTGAACAACTTCCAAGCGAACATTCATCAATATCAGGTTCCTGAAGAAATTACTATCAGCTATAAAGCATTATCAATATTATTATTTATTTTAAATCATATATATCGTGAGAAATTTCCAATTCATTTTCATTGAAAATTTGCCATAATATAATCATTTGTTAATAATTTTTATAATTCTATCTGCAAAATATATGAATGTCAGATTTTGTAGATACATAAATTTCAACTTCCGTTTTTTCTCTCAAAAAAACTATGATATTATTTTCGTCAGTTAGGTACATTTACAATCAATATTGTATTTTGTAAATATTCGACAATGATCAATTTGCTATTTAAAAAGTAAGAATCTTTAACCTGAAATTTAAACGAGAAAATTTAGTTGTGAAAAGATGGCAAAGGTCATTGGAAATAATAATTAACTTCAGGTTTTCTGCCTTTACATAAAAATTTACACATATTTACCCTGATTTCTTTGCTGCTAATTTTCAAAGTACATGAAAAGTCTGGTTTCTTTTTTTTTCTACGTTCATTTAGCAGTTAATTACAGTTCCATTAGAAGTGAATGACTCAAATATTAGCTTTTGTATAATGATAAACAATGAGCCTGAAATTAGTAGCTTTTTAAAAATGTTTTTTTTTTCAGTTCATTTGGTAATTATATGATTCAATGGAAAATATATTAGCACAATATATTAGCAATAACTAAAAATTACAACTAACTTTATACCTGTAATACTCAAGAAAAAAAAGCATGTTCTTTTGAAAATTTTAAATAAACCGATCTTTTATAAATTTTCTATCCTCATTTAGTGGTATTTTGTAAGTAAGTAAAAGATAAAATTTCATAGTCATATTTTCAAAAGAAGAAGGAAAAAGAAAAAAAAATTAAAAAATTAATTGGAATTCTCAAAATTTTTCTCAAATGTATTTATTATCTTTTTGACTTTTCAGAATAGATTACCATAACTTTTCTATTTCATTTATTCCATTAATAAGCAGATTATACGTTTCAAAATATTTCATCTCATTTTACGTTTACGTTTAATTGAGAATCATATGTTTCATAATTAGATGCTCCAGTTTCTAGTAGATCTAGCAAAAAAAGAAAAATCTCACTGAAAAATTTAATAGAAAAAACAAATGATTTAAATTTTATTCACAAACATTCTTCCGCTCATTTCTAATCTAATTCATAAACAATTTACAATTGTTTATTCAAAAAAAAACGAATACTATATAAACGGTAAAGAATAAGCTAAAATAATTGTATACAGTTTAGATTGGTATGAAAAGAATTGATGTATTATATGAAAAGAAAAATGTCAAAATTATCAAATAATATAATTTACAAAATAACCTCTTGAACTCCATCAAGAATTAAATCAGGTTTTGGTTGAACAGTAATCCATGATTTAATATCTCCAGTGAGCCATCTCCTAGTGAAATCCATCCTTTCACCTTTAAGTTTACGATTTTGTAACGGTAGCACAACTATCTCCGAAATTTCAACATCATCTGATGTCTGTTCAAATGATGCAGCTTTTTCTCGTACACAAGGCTTTTTAGTAACCTAAATAGGAGAGAAGCATTTCATTTAGATTAAAAGATTACTAAAAAAAAAAAGGGTAGAAGGATCCATCTGTCCTATAACTTTATATGTACCCTCATCTTTGACCCCAAAACTGAATCATAATTTCATTTTGTTTCTTTTTTTTAATCAAAAATTTATCGAATAAAAGTTTTTTATGTTTTTTTTTTTTGCATTCAATAAAAAATTTACACAATAAAAGTTTTATTTTTTTTGTGTTAAAAAAAAAATGTAATTTCAGAAATTTATCGATTAAAACTGATCAACTTACCCGTGGCTTGGATTCATATAATGAATATCTATTAATATGCCTATTGGTAGTTGCAACAGAATCCATCTCTTCTAGTCCGACAATATTGGCAGCCGTTTGCTTATCATTACTACAGTAATTCCTATTATATAATTAAAGTTGACACAAATTTCATTTCAATTACCATTTTCTTTTAAATATCTTTAAACATTATTTAGTTATATTAATATACATCTTTGTGTGTTTGAAGAATTAATTAACTATTTGGAAGGAATAATACTTCAAAACACTATGAAAATTCATCTATCAGTTACATTTTTTTTTTTAAATTTTACATAAATTAAGGATAAGTTAAGGAGAGGAAGTGAACTAACAATAATGAAAATTTATCCTTTAAATATATACAATTTTCTAGTTCAATTAGCAATCAACTGTAGGATATAAATAAATGACACGATGTTAAATTCAATGTTACCATAAAATTAAATAAAGTTGAAAGCAAAATACTGAAGCATACTGAAGCACACAGGTGAAATATTTCATGCTTAAACAAATTTAAGAAAACAAAAAGACGATTACCCATTGCGTTGCTGTAGCTTTACTGATGGTGATGATACAGCGGCATTCATTAAATTTGTACCATTCTTTGAAATTTCTTTACGTGTTGATGCTATAGCAATTCCACGTGATCGTTGCGTGTTATTTATCTGCAAATTTCCAGATTATTACGTAATTGTTGGTTAAAAATGAGAATAAATGCTGAATAAATGATAAAATCAGTATTCAGTACCTGATCATCCTCTTTATTGAGATCTTCGAATATTTGATCCAAATAATCGATGGCTTCTTTAAATTTATTTCTATGCTGATTATGCCTATATCGAGCCTGATCAATCATCTGATCCAATTGCAATGTTGTTGTTTCCAAAGTACCACTGCAACACACATACATTTCTTCATATTTAAATTATTTTCCAATTTATTATACTGTCCTATATTTTATGGTGTTTTCAAGCAATCATCATAATTAGCTAATCTATGAAGGAAAGTGATATTAGCATTGCCTTCTTTTGTTAAAGTGTGGAATTAGACTGCAAAATAATATTCCCTGGGGAAATTAATGATGAAGATGATAGCGATGAATGATGATAATGATAATGATGCAGATGACATCCAGCTTAATAATAATGAAGATAGTATTGGTGATAATAAGGTGATATATACTTTTGCGTGATATATACCATCATTATCAAATATTTCGGGAAAATTAAAAATACTGTTGTAATCAAATATTTTTATGAATGGACTATTAAAAATTATCGTAATTTTAAGTGATAAGAAAAATTAATCGTTGCCGAAATGTATCTTAAAATATAAACATACAATAAACTCATTATATAAATTACAATTCTATAGAATCAGAATTAAATAATTCGCACAATTATCTGAACACCATTTCATTCGATCATTTTAACCTATTATTTAATTTGCTTTAATTTATTTAATTGACAAAAAATAATAATGAATAAATCAAAGATAAGATACGATAAGATAATAAGAAGAAAAAAGAATGTAGGAATTTTCGTTTTTCAGCGAACAAATGCAATAATTAAATGAAGAAATATGAAATATCAAATAATATTAGTAATGATGAAGTGAAATTGAAATAAAAGATAAAATTTGTAAGGGGTAATTTGTTAGTGAAAATGAAAGTTTCGCCTCAATGAGAGCTCACTTAGATCAGCACTTATGCCTCCGACATTTTCCATCATTATTTACACAAATGTTTAACAATTGTAACGAAAATCATCATTTCATAGAACTTAATGAAAAAAAGAAAAGAAATTAACAAAACAAAATATGGGAAAGAGAATTAAATTATTAACTCCAGGAAAAAATAATGGGAAATTTTCAAAAAGTTTAGTAAAAAATTGAAGAAAAAAAAAACTAGATATTGTTAAATTTCATCGTGATCTTCATGATATTTCGAATAAATTACGATAAATTTTAATTTTTGCTACAAATTGCTATAAATACCAATAAATTTAATGTTTGTTTCTAGTAGCAATTACAATAATAAAATTCATCATTTCTATTTCGTAAAAATCTCACATTTAACATTTCTCATCCAACTTACACATTACTACTAATTTGCATTTTCATTTCTGCATTCCATCTTCTCTCCCTCTCCCCTTCTCTAACCTGTTGTAAGAATCGATGCTTGTTGTTGATTGACGTCCACTTCCGTCAACTCGTTTAACCGGTATATGTGCCGCATAACGTTCATGCCGTGGTTGCGCCGCTGCTGCTACCGCAGCTGTGAAATTTGACGTTAAAGACGAACCTGTAATTAGTGATCACGTAGCTTCAGCACCACTCAAATCATATCAATATCATTCTAAATTTGCCATTTTCCTTCTTCAAGTCGAATTTATGTTCAAATCATAATTCTTCTCGAAGTACGCTCATATTTAATCTATACGTATATCTCGATTTGACTTAAATCAAGTTACATATGAGTACGTAAATATCATAATTAATGGTGAAAACAGTGTTAGTGCTAAAATTAGAAATTGATGTGAAATACATCAAACCATCATCTCTCACTAATTATTCTTTCAATTGCTCAATCACATGTGGTCCATTATCAAATCAATTATATTCCGGCATAAATCAAAAAATTTTATCCAAAATGATTCTATGAGAAATTTGTATAAACGAGGAAGGAAAGAGAACTATTTGTATGTAAAATTATTAAATCCATATCACTATTATCACTAATGAATTACTTCCAAATAAATGATTGTCGACGGAAGAATATTTACTGCTTAAACATAAAATCACCAATTCTTATCAAAAAAATTTACTCAATCATTCGGAGATTATTCATTATCGTTGATGAATTACCTCCGAATGATTGAGTAACTTTTGATAAATATTTGTCACTTAAAAATATTTACTACTTAAAAATGAACTTATCAATTATTCTTATCATCATTATCATTAATAAATTATCTGCAAATAACAAACCTTCAACAGATGAATGTCTGCTATGGTCATGGAGTGGAAGTTGCATCGTTACGTTCACAGTTGGTATATCCTACAAATGAGAATATCAATCAATAATCTTAATTGCATTTCAATTATGCAATTTCGTCTAACAATTATTGAAATCGAAATAATGATCAAAATAATGATGGCATATCAGTTATTTTTGATCAACTAATGTCACTTTTTTGTAACTGTAATTTCGATTGAATTGTTTTGTTTTGCATAATTTAAAAAAATTTTTTAGCGTTATCTATGCTAATGGAAAAATGGAAAGGGAAAAATTATTGGAAAAATTTCATTTGAAAGCAATTGTCGAAAGAACAAACTGTAATAGAAGAAAAAAAAAGAATGATATGAAGAAGATGGTAAGGATGCTTTTTTTAGCATTTGATAGATTTTAAATATTTCAAGAGGAGGAGGGGAAAAGATGATAATTCCCATTACTAAATAACATTAAGTGCAATTAAATAAAAAAGAAAATGATGCTAATAAAAGATTGTAATGATAAGAATAAATAACACAAAAGGGAAGGAAATACTGTGATATATGTTGAAAAATGAATATCATATATTCATATTTTAATATATCAATTGGAGTACTAATTTGAGTGCTTGTTTCAATTTTACTCATTTCATTTTAATCAATGCAAAAATGTCAACAA